AAAGTGCAGCTCACATTTGAGGCACATTAAATTCTCATTATTATTCTTTTATTCATTTTAACCACACATTCTTCAATAAAATAATATTTTCCATCACATCAATAATTTTTCCTTCTTTTTCAATCACACATTCTCTATCAATCTACTATTCCAAAATACATTCTTTCAAAATAATGTAGCTCAAACACACCCTAAATGGAAGGTTTAGGATGTGCGTCTAATTTTAAGATTACAGACCAATTGTGCAGCAACCAATTGCGCCAATTCCCTTCATTAATTGGTCATGATATGCATATACTATGGGGATATGGGGAAAAAGTAACTTGAGCATTAATAAAAATTAAACAAGAATCAAACATAGGCTATGTAATTTGGACGATCACCATTTGGTTTTTGAAATGGGTGCAAATAACTACCATTTTGGTTTGATGCATCACATTTCAATTATTATGAATGTTCTCAAACATTTTTTTATTTTTCTAAATTTTTTTATCACATTCTTATCCTCAATTTCAATTAATTGGCACATAGTCTCTTATGGTGGTTTTCGTCTAGATATTTTCTTGGCGTACTTTAAATAAACGACAAATACTTTGTCAAACTATGTATTTATGATTTATTTTTATTTTTTTTGTTTATTTAAAAATATATGGGCAAATAAGTCTTTCTATTCCTTTTAATGTGTTTTTTGTTTTAATAATGTTACATGTATATAATGGTTTACATATATATGAAGTTTAAAAAAGAGAGTGAAGAAGTTTTTTTATATGGATGAAGAAATTTTGATATAATCATATCTCACCACATTATGTGTATATAAATCATTATGTACATATAGCAAAAATCGTTTTTTTTTTTTTGTTTTTTTTTACAGAAATCGTCATTGGGAACCAGATGTGTTAATTAATTAGGGGTGGATGCAGGTCGGTTCGGTTCGATTTTGTTCGATTCCAGAAATTTTCGGATATTTAGTAAATGGAACCGTCAGTTCGAAATATAATTTTGGAACCATTCGAGTTCGGTTCGGTTCCGTACTATAATTAAATTTTTTAACATTTATAATAATA